CAACCTATGAGACACTTTATGGGAGGCCTTGCCGTTCTCTGATTTGTTAAATGGAGGTGGGAGAAGGACCCTCTACGGGTTTGGATTTGATTAGAGACACCTCGGAGAAGGTGGACATGATTCGGAAGCGTCTTACGGCTCAGCGCCGGCAGAAGAGCTATGCCGACAGACGGCGCGCGACCTTTGGAGTTTGAGGTAGGAGATCGTGTCTTCTTGAAGGTGATGCCTAAGAGAGGAGTGGTCAGGTTCGAAAAACAAGGGAAGTTGTCGCCAAGGTTTATCGAGCCCTTCGAGGTACTCGAGAGAGTGGGGACAGTGGCTTACCGGTTGGCGTTACCGCCAAATCTAGTGGGTGTTCACACAGTGTTCCATGTCTCTATGCTTCGGAAGTATATTCCAGATCCAACACATGTGGTGGATTGGAGTGAGATGATTGTTTATGCGGATGAGACCTTCGAGGAGGGATCGATGTGTATCATGGATAGCTGGGAGCAGGTTTTGCAAGGCAAGGCCGTGAGGTTAATGAAGATGCTGTGGCAGCACTGAGGCATGGAGGAGGCGACATGGGAGCGTGAGGACACTATACGTATCAACTACCCGTTCTTATTCGCGGATGGAGGTACAAGTTTTAATAATTTTAAATATAATGTCATTTTTACATATGCATGCGGTTAGATGTACATGTGAATTTCGGGGATGAAATTTTTTTAAAGGGGGAAGAATGTAAAATCCGGGTAAATTTAAACTTTTTATAAAAAGGGTAAAACGGTAATTTACCACTACAGTACGAGTTAAAAACCTAAAATTTTTTAGATCTCGGATAACGAAACGGACCTCGCTGTTGGATTCGTCTCGCGAAATCTAGTTACCACGTCAAATTTTATCGAATTTCGAGATAGTCGAATTTTTTGTATTTTACGAGGCGATCGAGTCTCGAGTGACCCAAAAATAAAATTTTTGATAAAGTTTCGAAAGTTAAAAAATAATTTAAGGTAAATTAAAATAAAATTAATTTGAACTTGAACCAGGGTGAAATTTAATCGTTTTGGGATGAAAAAAGACCCGAAAAAAGAGGGTCTTGTAGCGCGTTGTGGACCAAGTATTCTAAGACTATAAATATGGGGAAATCTGATTTTTGGCCTCATTTTTGTGTTCAGCCGTTAGCCGATAGAGAAGAGAAGGAAAAGAGAGAATTTATTCACCTTCTCTCTACATCTATGGAGATTGAGTGATCGAATCTGCTTAGGCCAAGAAGGAAAGTTGTTCTTCTCGATGCGGGCTACAAAACCATACCAAGGAGGTTGGGTTTGGGCGAGATTCCAAGGACGAGATTTTTGGAAAGTAGAGGTTCTAGCTTGTTTTGGGTCCTTGAAGCTTTCCAACGTCGTTTTACGCTCCAAGAAGTAGGGTTCCTTCCTACTTAGGTTTATTTACAACCTAGGTTGTCTATATGTGATGGGTGGATTTATAAAATGTTATATCATGTGCCTATGCTTGTGAAATTGATGAAATGGGTATGAAAATAGATATAGAAATGAGTCAAAATAAATTCCTAACTAGGAGTTGATATATGGTAATTACTTGTGTAATTCCACGGAAATGTGATTGTGGGCATGCTATATGTTTAAAATTATCCCTTGGGGATTGAAGTGTGTTATTGGCTTATATTATGTAATAACATGTTAGTGATTGTTGTTAGAAAACAAAATGTTGATATATGTTTATTGATGTATTAACATTCTGATAAAGTTGGTAATTGTATGCATGAGATGTAAATTACCATGGGATATGTATATATGTATTTAAAGTTGCTCATTTGACACTCTTTACATATGGACATGATATTGAAATAGCAATGGGGCATTACATTACATTTGCACGGAGAAACCGCATCCATAGCCATGTGTGTGGGTGTGTGTTTGCATGATTGATATCAAACACCAAATAGGTGGATGATGGGTGGGCTCAGAAAAGTTGGATTGAATATCTGGCTGAGTCGCACGGTTGCATGAAAAAGAATTGGGTCGGGGTTAGTAAGAAGGGTTAGACTATCCCTCGAGTGAGAGACCCGGTGATTTGGATACGCACTTCCATTGGTATAAGAGCCCATAAAGTGTGTTGGTGTACGCAGAACCGTTGGTGGAAGTCCAAAAATTTCCTTGTCGATTGGGTGACTGTTGGTGTAAGTCCATAAATACCCACCCTAAGAAAGACCCGAAAATTTTCAAATAGTCATTGGGTGAATGAAAGTAATGGCGGGGGGCTGGAAGGCCCGATTTTAAAAACCATGGCATTACATGGGAAAAAAGAGTCAGGAAGGACTCGGATTGAGTTGCATGATTGAGTCTCATCTCACTTCATGGCATGTCATTGCTAAGATTCCAAAATGGAATGATGTGCACGTGTTTGGAATGTTGTTGGTTGTGAATTGTTGCATGAGAACATCGCATATGCGCTTAGGTTGGGGAGTAGTCTCTGTAGAAAATACTCTACTGGGCATTGCTCACCCTATACGGGAAAATATTTCAAGTGTGGACTACACTCCGGTGGATGACACTCATTCGGGGCATCAACGATGAAGAAAAGCCAAGTTATGGCTTTTGAAAGCAAGTTTTTGTAAAAACTTTTGTTTAAAACCCATTTGGTATGTAAATGTATGAAAGGGGTTGTATTAGACGTTGTATATATTAGATTATATGTGAAAAATATGATTTAGTATGTTTTGGATGAAAAAGGTAGGTTTTGGAATGAGTTAAAAATCGACAACAGGTGAATTAGGCAAACCTAGACAAAGTGCACCGGTATTGCGTACTAGTACAGTCTGTCCAGAAGGAAAAGCGTACCGGTACTATCTGTCGAGAAGGCAAACCGTACTGGTACTGTCTCCTAAAATCTGAAATTTTTAAATTTTTTTGCCATTCTTTTGGACTTTGTTTTCCTTGGTTTCAATTATACAAATGGATATTAAATGAGGTATATTGGACCTTGGTCGGATTAAATGATTAAAAGAACAAGGGTAATACGTGTGAGTTAAAATTTCAGGTGATGGAACAATAACAGCGTAATGTCGGATCAAGCGACACTCACGGGCAATTCCGCGGGTTGACGGGTGGTCAACAAGTTAAATAATGACCCTCGATTTTAGGGGCGTCACAGCCACCGCCGCCACCTCCACTGCCACCGCCATCCCCACCACCACCACCACCATCGCTGTCGCCACCCCCACCGCCACCACATCTGCCACAAACACCACCGCCACCACCACGGTGGTCTTCGTCGTCATGGCCACTACCCAAGCCACCGCCACCACCGTCACCGTCATCGCCGCCGTCACCACCACCCCCACCGCCACCATCACTGTCGCTGCCGCCACCACCACCATAATTGCCGCCACCATAGTCATTGCCACCCACCAAGTGATGAAGGAGTAGTCTACGGTACTGAAATTTTTTTTGGTACCATATTGTCATTTATAATTTTTATGAGTGTTTTTATCACTTTTGTGATGACTATTTTTATTGTTTTTGTGATACCTTGTGATCGATCCTATCAGCCACAAAAGTTGTTAATCATCCACAAAAATTGTAATTTTTTTTGTTATAAAATAAACGACAAAAATTATAAAAATACCCATTAAATTAGTAAAATTTAAAAGTACTGTACCCAATTTGTTTTTACCTTACGCAGTCTTCTCCTGTGAGGAATTGTTCATCAGGGATTATTACAATCCTTGGCACTCAATCTCTTTAACTCGTGTAATTATGTCCATGGCCTATTGCCACATGTGCGGACAACGAAAGTGAAAGGATCTATCTTCACAGCAACTCCATTAATTTTCTTTGAGCAGAGTTTTGTTTGTCCGAGGGAACCTTGCATATAGTCTTTTCCGCTGGAATCATAAATGAGTTGTCTGCACATTGATCAATGATCTTTTCTATATGTTGAACTACTATGAGCAGTTTAAACTTTGTGAGTGAAATGTTAAAGTAGGTTAACACACACACGTTAGAATATTCGAGAATGATGAATAGTATAGCGGAATGGGATGGGAAGTGATGGGATGGATAGAAATATTCGAGCTGTTTATTAACTGCTAGGACCAATTTTTGGATAAAAGGTTCCTCATATAGGTGAAGTCAATGAATATTCTTGTACCGGCCGAAATGCTTGTCTCAAACAAGTTAGTTGTCTCCACTGTAGGGACAAGTAAGGACAATATTTATAGCACAAAAACTCAGACAATTAGGATTGCTCTATTGCCTTTGTACAGAGGTCAATGTCGCACGTGATAACTATGCTCACCGGCAACTACCTTGGTTGTACTTGTACAACAACATTTATGTCAAGTGCTAGGTGTTCCAAGCATTAATTAGACAGATGTGACATCTCATCGAATACAATTGAGATTTGATTGGGTGAAACCTCTTGATTTGGGTGGGCGGGGGAGGGTTGTGGCTATGCTACCACGGGACCACATACACGATCCAATAACTACACAGTAGCCGCAACGCCCACTCTCTCCCTCAGAGCCCCTCTCTATCAACTCTTATCCACAGTGTCCAATTGAGCATACTCACATAGTATCGATTCTTCCAGCCACCAACCCATATGTTCCGTCTTCCTATTTGTTGATGTGGACCAATAATCCTTGGTACCTTAGGAATCCCTCTAGGTCCCAATCAGGCATAGCTCAGTGAGTCATACACTGGGAGGTCTGTTTGAGTAGATTAAACTTTCGAGACCCTACCCAAGATTCAGATTGATAATCGTGTTTGTCCTCCCTTACTGCATATTTCTCCCTTGATGAGGGCCACATTGCCCTGTTCTTAGTTGTGGAAACTCTCCTCTTAGTCTATTGGGCCAATCGAGCAACATTATATCATTGGTTGAATTTTACTACAATGGGCATCCAATGGGTTCCAAGTTCTCTTTCGGGGTCCCAATTTGAGGGTCCCCATTGAGGATAATTTGGAGATATGAGCATCATGAGCCACTAGATCCTAATCTTGGGTCTTATTTCTACAGTAGACGAGGTACCTTGCCAAGGTTGCCCCCAATATGCTTACTATAGCCATTGTCATAGGAGAGTCATCCCCACGAAAGTGGCATGGCTCGCGGTCACTAGGATTCTTTCCATGGTGGTTGTGAACCCTGAGGGGTCTCTTTGATGTCCCATCAACTTCCAATGTGTCCCTGGCCTTGTCACATGTCACCTTGTAATTGGGACATATGTTATTGCCATATTTGTTGCTTACAAACTTCAACACTTATTTCTTCTAATTATGTTCTTGTACCCAAGCCTTGAAAAAACATCGAGTCTTGTGGAGAATAATGTTACATTTAACTCACTAAATCATAAAGAAAGTGCTTCACGATGGTTGAAGTCAATTGTCTTGTTATTCTAATCAATTCTTTCGGGCATCTCTATGGGATTGGAAGAAGGGGCTTTTCACCCAAATGTTTTAGAGTTCCTCCGAACTACATCATCCTCAAAGTATGGCAAAACACTCTATTGAAAACACAAGGTGGTAGTACATCAAAGCATGAATTGACCTAGCAACATGAACTTTGGGTGAGGTGTACTAGCGAGCAACTTCCTTCCCCACTATCATACATAAAGCTTGATAGGAGCCCGAGCTAAGAAAATAGAACAAACTCAACATAAAAAATTTAGGGATAGATCATTCAAGGGAGAAACTCAAGATAGATGCAAGATTCTTTGTTTTTTTTGCCCTTCACTCCATTAGGGCTGATGCAATGGACAGTCTATTGAAGGCATATTAGGATTGGCCCGAGAGATAGTTGCTAAAGGCCTATTAATACAGGGACAACAAACCGGCCATGGGTCATAATATATTGGTGGGCCAGGTTATTATTGACTAGTCAACGGCTGAAAAACACTTATTTATCATTATAGTTAATTAGGTTAGGGTTCTTTCTTTGGTATATAAACTAATTTATTCCTACTAGTTTTTTAATTTATAAAAAAGTTTTTCGTGTTTTTTTTTTAAAAAAAAAGCATGCAGTAGTCCTTGTGTGGGTGTGAATGTATAGGAGTTGGGTAGTTAATGTATTTTTACTACCCATTTTGCCCTCATCACATGATTTCAGCCTAAAATATAGTTAGTTATTTATTTTTATTTTTTTTGTCATTGAGGATTTTGTGGTATTTTCTATTAGTTTTAAGTTTCAAATTTGTGAACCAAGCAATTTGGAATATACCGGTCGTTTACCTTAAGCGTTGATTTGGTAGGTATACAAATTAGTAGTTAAGTTTTACGTATTCGTTGGTGATTTACTTAATTTTGAGTTGTGTTTGATTTTATGTAATTGTGTACCTGTAATGATGTATATGTACCTTCTTCTCAATTAAATACTGATGCACCTATCTGGTGGATGTATATATACATATAATATACCTAGATGATTGTGTTTATTGTTCATCGTATATGATATGTTGTATACATATATAAACACATATATATTAATTGAGTACCTGTTGTGTTTTTTAATGCATTTTTTTGAGTGTGTAATCATGAATGTTTGTGATCGTTATTATCTTTCATATTCAATTTTTAGTTTTGCCCAGGATGGATACCTAACTTTTGTGATAAAATTTTAGTTACTTGTTAGTCATTTGTTTGTGTTTTGACAGTTTGAACTCTTCTTCAATTTTTTAGGGGATGGGAGGAATTGTGATTGCGAGGTACACACTTGATTCAATCACTTTTGCTGTTGCTCTCAACGATTATAGTACGTATGAGGATCTTTGGAATGAGATAGCTTCCAGATTTGAAGCTTTAAAGGGCTTTGCTTTTAGCATAAGGTACTAAATAGATGATAACCGCAGATGTTTGGTTGAATCTAATAATGATTTTAGACTTATGATGTTGTCTCCATCGTTGGCAAAATTCAAAATTTATTGATCTATACCTGTTGCATAATAATGTTCAGTCGAGTCAAGTGAACGATGGAAGCATTGTAGATTTGTCGCATTTTGTGAATTTGACGATATCTTCAAATGATAGTGAATTTTTGGGAAGTTTTGGTACTACAGTGAAGAGGTCATACCTATTTGATTCATGGAAGAATTATATTAGTCATGTGAGACAAAAATTTAAGGGTGGCGCAACTGATTTTCGAGACAAGCTGTGTAAGTATGCGATTGAGCTCATTTTTGGTTTTATTTATGTTAAGAATAAGAAGACAAGGGTAACTACATAGTGTATTAAGAAGAGAACTGATGGTTGCTGATGATACTCATAAAAACAAGAACTTAGTTTGAGATCGGTGGATCAGATCAGCACGGAAGCCCAACCAAAAAACCCTGAGCTCGAGCTCCCGACCTAGAGCTCCTTAAAAACACACCTCAGAGGAAGTGGAGGGAAAGACAGCTGGCACCAACCATGCATTTTCTCAATGGCAACAGACGCCAGCCTAGGCGCAAAACTCACAACTCCCCCATCACACTGCATGATCGCTGCCTAAATCAAGCAAACATTACAAGATGTGGGGATCTCGCCTTAGATCTAGCTGAGCTCGAATTTAGCTATAAATACTGTAAAAATTCCTCACTCTAGGGCAAGTGACCCAAATCAACCAAGAACTTTGTGTTATTTCTCCCCCAATATCAATATATTTTCCTAGGAGCAAGAGACTCATTTGAAGAGTGGATTAGCCGAGCCCCGAGCTGGTGAACCACTACAATTCCAATGTGCAATTGATCCCATTCCCCTAAAACCCCATTCCGAAGAGCCTTGGAGCTCAGGCTTATCTGGGTCGAAGCACCTAGCGTCCCCATCCTATTCAATTGCGCTTTACACATTATTAGTTGGCGTCATCTATGGGAACGACTGTTTCTCTTACAAACATACTGATTTCCTTCAATAATTGATGGTTTCTACGTGCAACATGAGCAGAAGTCAAATGAATCCTCTACGATTGTAGAACCAGCATGAAGTCACTAGCAGAAGGCAGCAGGAGAATCCTCGTGATTTCTTGCCCACCAATGAGACTAATCCACCTGTAGCAAATCCTCCTCCAAATAACGAGCTTAAAGCCCTTCGACTAGCCAATCAGTGTCTCTTCCAATAGAATAAGGAGCTATTAAATCTCCTTCAATAGGCCAACCAGCCCTAGGTGACCCACCACAAGGAGAACATCATCGAACCAACCCCCTTCGAAACATCATTAAAGGGGAAGAACGCAGCCATACCATGGGCAATGACCCTTGAGTCCCTAGGAACGAAGATTATGAGGAAATGCAAAGTCAGAATAGTGAAATCCATAAGAACGAGCTTGCCCCATTCCAGCAGGAAGGTAGGGAGCAATACTAGAAACAATGTTTCAGAGATATACATCAAGAACTCATCCATATGAAGGAGGTTGTAAGAGGTAAAACCCCAGTAACCATGAACACCTTGGTACAACGGGTGGAATCCCCCTTCACTGTTGAAGTATTACATTTTCTCTCCCACCAAAGTTCAAAATGCCCTAGATGGAGGCCTTTGATGGGACAAAAGACCACATGAATCACCTCAACACGTACAAAAACCAAATGGAGCTCCACGGATATCAAGACCCTGTACGATGTCGAGTTGTTGCCATGACATTGAAGGGCTCAGTCTTATCTTGGTTCAACAGGCTGGCTCCGACAGCCATCTCTTCCTTCAGAGAACTCTCCATATCCTTCGTGTCACATGTCATAGGAGCTCAGACTTACCAAAAATTAAGCTACCATCTGTTGAATGTAAAACAAGGACCCAGTGAGAACCTAAGAACTCGTGTTCAAAGGTTTAATTTAGAATCTCTGAAAGAGGACGTTCCAGATAAAAAATTTTCATTACTGCTTTCATCGCAGGGTTAGGAGTATAGTTGAAGGACCTGATGTTCTCCATATCTAAAAACCCGCAGGCCAGTATGGCATAAGTGGTTGCCAAGCAGAAAAGTATATCAATGGCGAAGAAGCTCTCCTTTCTAAGGCAGGAAGCTCATCCACGAAGAAAGAGAAAGGAAAAGAAGAGAAGAAGAGGGATCAAAGTCCCAAAAAATAAAAAAGTTGAGACAAGTCTCCAAGAAGACAGGGACCATTCCCCAAAAAGGAGAGAAGATGTCAGGGATCATCTGGATCCCCCGGAGCAAAAGCTGCAGTCAAGGTACACACCTCGATAGCTCACTCCACTTACAGCTACGATATCCTAGATCCTCTATGAAGTGCAAAATGATAAATTCCTGAGGTGGCCATCTCAGATGAAAGAGGATCCAATAAAAAGGGATGCCACAAAGTATTGTGAATACCACAGAGACCATGACCACCTCACCGATGATTGCATCTAGTTAAAAAAGAAAATCGAATTCTTGATTTAGCAGGGGCAGCTATGTTATTTTGTGGCACATGATAATCAGAACAGGGTTCACTCTCCCCCAACACCTCAGCAGAGACATCCTGCATAGTACTAGTAGCCTATGGAGAGATCAAGGTGATTTCTGGGGGATTTGTTGGTGGAGAAGAGACCAGCTCAGCCAGAAAAGCCCACATGTGCAAAGTCAGAACTAAGGAGATATTGGAGGTGCAAACTGTGACCAAGGCACTTCGACTAAACATGGACATTACTTTCTCAGATGCAGACTTAGAGAGATATCAGTATCCCCACGATGATCCCTTGGTAATAAGGGCCATCATAGCCAACAGAGTCGTTCATCAGGTCTTAATTGACAATAAAAGCTCTATCGACATCATCTTTGCATCTGCCTTCAACATGATGGACATAAGTAGAGATAAGCTCGAGCCAGTGAGGACTCATCTTCTCGGGTTCTCAAGGGAGAAAGTGCTACCCTAGGGTTGATCCAACTCGTCCTCACCATGGGGAGCCCACCTTGCTAATCCACCACCACAATAAGGTTCCTGGTAGTAAATGCCCTCTCAACATACAATATTCTGTTGGAAAGACCTTCCTTCAATGCCATGAAATTCATCTCTTCTGCCTATCACTTGGTTATAAAATTCCCCACTGAAATCGGCATAGGAGTGGTCCGAGGAGACCAACGAGTGGCAATGGAATGCCACATAGCGTCAATGAAAAGGAATGAGGTTGAAACCATCCAGTTGGATGAATTAGACATGAGGCATGAGCTGGATACTAGGCCTACGCCCTCGAAAGAACTAGAGTCTATCCAACTCGATGAAGAGCCAAAGCACGTACTATACGTGGGA